CCGGCCTGTCCGTGCAAACCTGTTCCGTGGCCCGCCCAGGGCCCGCGCGCCAGGGCCGTGCCTCTGCACTTCTCCGTCCGTGTGCCGGGCGCTTCTCACAGGCCCGGCTCTAGAGAGAACCTTGGCGACCCCAGCCACTCCGGAGTTCTGTGACCTTGCGAGCGGCTTACCCGAACCTGTGTTTCTTAGATGTGAGCCGGAGATAACAGCACTTGTCTCCCAGGCCTGTGGTGAGAGTGTAGCGAGACGCACCTCATCTCACGTAGGCATCTTGAAGATTCCGATTTTGTAGGTCGGGTGGGGCCTGGTGAGGCTGATGCTGCTGTTCCTCGGGCCACACTTTGAGCAGTATTTTGCTTAGTAGCTGGGATGGGGTGAGCCTTCAATAAATAGCAAACGGTGTTTTGTTGTGCTGTGTTTTTGTTTTAAGTTTCTGGTTGCACAAGCCTACCTAGCATGGATGCCCCACTCCCTTTCTCTCTCCAGGAGTAAGACAAGTGATTACCTTTTCTCTTCATGTACAAACCCTGACACGGCTCTCCCGCCCTGACGCAGGAAGCTTTGGGCCCTGTCTATGCAGTTAGGTTATGCCGAGGTGGTTCTTCACTGCGCACTCGCTGTAGATGCTCGGCCCGTGCTCATCCGTGGAGCTGGTCGCCAGGGTCTTTAGCACCAGTGCAGCTCATGTTTTATGCTTGAGTATGTGTTGCTGCTGTAATATGAATGCATGTTTTCCGTACTTTGAGTAGTTATAACAGCTACCTTTCCAGGACTAGATTCTGCAACTCGCTGCTCTGAATGGCGCTGGGATGAGTGTACTACTGCCAGATAGAACAAAATGAAACCAGAATCGGGGCCTTTGGGAAGGAGACCCCCCGGACCCGGGGGTGGGTGGCTGCGGACTTGGTCCCTTTCCCAGGGGGGCTGAGGGCCGACTCCACTTTTTTCCTAAACAACAACAAAACAAAACCCTGGAGACAGTGCCATCTATAGTACAACTGGGAGAGTGAGGCCTTTGTCAGTTACGCAGGTCTAATCTGTCAGTTTGCCTTCTTCCCAATTCACTGGCTTTTCTTTCTCTTACTTTCGTTTTGTATTTATTTTTCTATTCCCCAGTACGGCCTTGTCATTCATCATGTAAGTCAGTCAACTTGGATACTAAAGAATTTTGAAATTCCCCCTTCACTTGCCTGAAATACCGTGTTGTGCAGCCTGGCAAATTTAGGAAAACCAATTTAAAATCAAGTGTTTGATGGAGTTAACACTGTTAGGTTCTTGGACCATTTATTTGGGGATTTGTCCACGTAACTGGGTACAGCTACTTCTCTCCAGCTGCAGGGGTTTTGCCTGAATGGGACTCTACTAGTCCCATTCAGATGGGCTGAGAGAACAGGAGTTTCTGCTTTTTGTTACAGTGAGATTTTTTTTTAAATATATATTTTATTGATTTTTTACAGAGAGGAAGGGAGAGAGATAGAGAGTTAGAAACATCGATGAGAGAGAAACATCGATCAGCTGCCTCCTGCACATCTCCCACTGGAGATGTGCCCGCAACCCAGGTACATGCCCTTGACCGGAATCGAACCTGGGACCTTTCAGTCCGCAGGCTGACGCTCTATCCACTGAGCCAAACCGGTTTCGGCACAGTGAGATTTTTTTAACGACGAGTCTTATCGGGCCCTTTAAGAGCGGTGACTCTAGCAGAATTATCTGTGAGGCCTTGCCAGACTGTATCTACCCAGGCCCTTCTTGTCATTCTGATAGAGAAAAGGGAGAGTTTTAGAAGGGGAGGAGAAGGCTATGAACGCTAAAAGAGTTTCATAGATTATTGTGATGTGCTGTTTTCTCGCCCATAGGCATGGAACCTAGAATGAAGTAGAGGGGATAGGCTGTTAGACTAGGTTTTGGTTTACACTAGTGCTTCACCTTCCTGTAAGCTGTGTTCCTGTGCGGAACTAAGCATAGAAGAGTCTAGCCCAGTTAGCATCTGTATTAACAGCTAGGGGTCCATACGGTCAGCCTCTAAACTCTCACCACGGGCTTAAAGCTTTGTAAACCGATCAGGAGACTCCAGCACCTAGAAAAAGTTAGTTGTTTTAATTCTTAGGGTTGCCCAATACATTATTTGCTAAGGTAAGAATGGGTTTTGAAGTATCCATTTATTTGTGGCAATTTTATCAGGATATGAGGTTTAAACCTTTCTAGCAGAAAGATCAGAAATCAGAATTAAGGGATGAGATCTGATAACTGGTAAATTGAAAATGCTGAGGGTGTTATATACTTAATCTACAGTTAGCATGGCTGCCTTCTTCCTCCTGGCTCTCTAACTTCTGGACTATAGTTTAAAATGAAGCTATTCGGCCTTGCTCAGACCTGTACCTGGAAGGCAGAAAGGTAAGATTCCTTACTCCTATGAAATCACATGATTCAGGATGATGTGGGCAGTGCTGTTCAGAACAGCCATGCTCCAGAGGTCTCTTAGGTTCCACTCTGGTTAATTAGAACCCCTAAAGAGGAGGTAGGGAGCAGGGTATACTACTAGGGGCACTTAAACTAGGAAAGGGGCTTTGTGAAATGATGCCACATATCTTTGACTCTTCATAGAGGCATCAGGAGTTATTGGGCACCTCATGGTGTTCTCAGCTTTCTTTCTTTTTTTAAAATATATTTTATTGATTTTTTACAGAGAAGAAGGGAGAGAGATAGAGAGTTAGAAGCGTCGATGAGAGAGCTCTATCAGCTGCCTCCTGCACACCCCCCAGTGGGGATGTGCCCGCAACCAAGGTACATGCCCTTGACTGGAATCTAACCTGGGACCCTTCAGTCTGCAGGCCGACGCTCTATCCACTGAGCCAAACCGGTTCGGCATGTTCTCAGCTTTCTAATGGACTCTGGGAGTCCTTGATTAAGGAGGAACTAACTCAGCTGTGTTTTCTGTACCTGGGTAACACATCCTTACCTCTTTTTCTCCCCACATTTTACTTTGTTGTTCTGTATCTAGTATTTCTTTCCTTTTCTGCAGTATTTGAGACCCAACTTC